TCATTATTTACTAACATACCATTAGATGAAACCAAATATTATATATGTATATAGATTGTTGCTATTTAGAAATAAGTTCTTAAACATATTTTTCTTAAAATATAGAATTCTAAATAAAGAAGTAAAGCAAACAATTATCTCTACTAATTACAACCTTTGTACTCGGTTGCTGCTTGATGTAGGTTGCTTTTAAAAATTTTGCACGGGAAGGATATAAAACAAAATATTTTTTTAGGTTTTATATGTACATTTGAATAACTAAAAAATTATAAATTACTGCATTAATACCATAAAATTCTACTATAATTTATCAAGCTTAGTAACTAAGATGTATTTTAGTCTAAAAAAATATAAAATTTCGAGTAGACTAAAGACACACCCTACTTAATTGAAATATTGGTTCAAAAGAAAGAAATGGTGCCAAGCCTGTTAAAATGGCTGAGAAAGTCACTAGGGGACATTCTGTGCTTTCAATTGGTAATTCATGTGATACATAGAAGTAAGTGTATATAAGGGAGCATTTCCAAAAATGGAAAGAGGTGGGCTGGGTGCTATTGTTTGATTTATTACGTGAGCAATATCTTAGCAAATAGAAAAGATATGATCTTATTTTATATTCTAGCTTGTCAATATCGGTAATTTGAGTTTCTGATTTGTATGAAACTATAGGTTTAGTATTTTAACTTCACAAACATCTAATTTGAACAAGTGCTATATTCAACATACCACGTGAGACACAAAAATCGATATTTATCTGTTTTTTTATATTTGCTTTCAAATTAAGGAATTGAGTAATATATATAGTACTAAAATTTGAATTATAATCTACAGTTTGATACCAAAGTTATTGTTATCAATTCATGAAATAGTAGTTCAATAAAATTTTGAATGCGAGTAAACAAACAAGATGACATGGCCTTTCACCTGCTGTGAAAGGGTTAAAGTGTGATTGCAAATAACTACATTAAATTAAATGTTTTATTTTACTGAAATTACATACTTTAGGAACGTTCTTGTCAAATTTTAAACAATTTGATCCACTAGTTTTATATTTGGAACAAAATATGATGAGAGCAACATTACCTTCTAAAACAATTAGTAGCTGGTAGTCATAGGGTTAAGGCTATTTAGGATAAACAAATATAGTTTTGTGTTACAGTGTAAAGTCATTCTAGAAAGAAAAAAGGTAATTTAGATTTAATTTGTATTTTTTTATGGTGGTTACAGTTTTGGTCAAATTTACAGATCTCATATAGAGTTAGGGTACAGAAAATAACAGATAAAATATAAAGTTTTATTGAACAAAAACGTTTGAAATATATTGAGGTTTTAGAGATTACACAAATGAAATCTGAGATTTTTCAGATGAAGAAAGTTTTTTATCTATAAAAATCACTTTGCACTCAGAACAGTCAACACTTTGACTTCATATTATCATGGAAAACTTTTTAGTGAAAATACTTCATTAAAAATTTAGAATGCTTGTCTGCAAAAAACTTGATGATTATTGAAAGCTTGGAAAATTTTGTGAAGATACACAAAACATTAGAAGTTATAGTGTGGAAACTAAATGTCAATTTGGGGTTAAGATTTAGGTTGAATCTACAAAGACCATTGCAGGAGAGTTAAATTATAATAGTTATAGGACATAGTTTGTTTTGTATGTTTTTATTTTGCCTTCTTAAGTAGCTACTTAAAATAATTAAAAATGTAATGAATTAGTACTGTCAACACAAAAACAAAAGGCTTATATTTCATCTGTGAGCTGACAGCACAAAACAAGGTGTCAAATGTTAGTACCAAAATTTTTGTTTTATGTATATTTTTTTATTTATAATTAGAAAAGTAACAAAAATTGTAAATAAATTAGAGGGAAGACTTAGAGAACAAATGTCACAGTTCTCATATAAGGGGAATTGAATATTTAAAAAAAAAATTCCTTATAAAATTAAGAACTTAAAACTTGTATTAAAATTTGATGTATTAATTACATTTTGATGCCAAGTTTATTCATTTACTATGAAAATATAGTAGCTTAATTAAATTTTGAATGTAACCCAAGGCAAGAATGTTATGCAAATGAAATTTGAAAACTGGAATATGAATAAAAGTATTTTTAATCTTAACATGAAAATCACTTTGTACTTAGTCTAGTCAGCACTTTTGACTCCATATATTCATGAACACATTTTTAGTAAAAAAAATATTTATTAAAAACTGATGCTTAGTATACAAGACTTATAAAGTTTACTATAAGCTTGTCAGATTTCCTGAAGATGCACATACCATATTAAAGGTTATAGTAAGGATTCTTTTGTAGTTACCTGGTGGTTACAAGGTCAGTCAAAATAACTGTGCCTATATGAGGAAAAGAGTTAATTGACTTTGTTATTTAACTTAGACTCATCTGATTGTCCTCTTCAGTCAAACTTTGTACATTGTTGTTTTTTGCAAGAAATTAACACGTGCTTTTGAGAATGACTGTTTAGCAAAATGGTGTTTGATGACATCACTGTGTATAGAATGATGGTGTTTGACATTATAATATTTGTAGAAGGACAGTGTTTGGTGACATTACTATTTATGGAATGATGGTGTTTGGATATATCACTATTCAATAAATGACAGTGTTTGGATACATCAAATTACTTATGGAATGGTGTTTGGTGACATTACTATTTACACAGTGAAAATATTTGGAAACACTATATGTAGAATGATAGTGTTTGGCAACATAACTCAAATTTTATAAAGTGAAATTACTTGCTGAAGTCACTATTTATAATGACAGTGTTTGGCAACATCATGCACAATTTATGGAGTAGCAATATTAAAAGAGAGAGTTAAGTATTTTGAGAATGATTGGGTTAGGAACTACTTTTTATAAAGCACACGATTTTAAAAACATCATAAACCAGTTTTATGGAAGAATCAAAAGCATATAAAACAAAGCTGTTTTAGATACTTTGGGGTAAAATTGTAGCAGTTTTACACCACAACTAGATTGTTTTTGTCATAAGCTAGTTTATTACATCTTGACTTCAAACCTATTTGATTTGATGTTTTAGGTCAGAGGACGAAGGAACTATGAACTTCTCTGTACAATGCGAGATGCACTGGAAAGACAAAGGTATCTCACTCCTGAGCAAATGAGAGCATACCAGCATGAAAAGTAAGTTTCATTTTTAGTTGGTTACTACAAGTATACTGGTGTTAATAGTAATGATCATATAAGCTCTTCCAAGTGGCACTGGATGTTACTATTAAAAATTAGCAGTTAAATTGTTGAACTATGGAGTTAAAGGTAACCAGTTTTTGTGATCTTACTGTAAAATCAGGCTCCTTATAATATTGTATAACTATATAAGTTTGCTATAGCTTGTTGAGAGAAAAAACTGACACCAAAGAGAACCTACATTTTTAAAAGCATTTCTTAAGCTATGTATAGTTGATTATTATAGGATATGACCTAAGATTAGACATGTAAATTTAATAACAAAAGGCTAAGTATACAAGAATTGAAACTCAAACTCTGAAAATATTATTTTTATAGAACCAGTAGTTTCTAAGTTGCCATAGAATGTGAAGATAAGTTTTATCTCAACTCCTTCTTATGACAGATTTTTATTATAAAAAGGAAACTGATTATATGATTTAAAATAATAACAAAAATGTTTTCATTAGAAAAAGAAAATTGTAACTGGTTTTTGAGTTGGGGACAATAATATTTTTTTTAACTACGTACAAACCTCTAGTGGTTATAAGAAGAATCTTAAAATTTTGGTAACTAGCAGAAAAAAATGTAAGCCTCACTTTGCCCTGATGTTTATGTTAAAGTTCAAAATGAGTGTATACTTGAGACTTGCTAGTGTACAGAAAGTTGTCACATCATTGTGGTGTTTTGCAAGAACAGGCTGTTGTTAATAACAAGCATTGGTGTTTGGAATTAGTGTATGTATTTATAGTAAGAATAGCTTGTAGATATAAATTTAGACCAGATATAATGACATCCCATAGTCTGTTGTCAGCAATTGTGAAGCTTATTCTTAATTTTCTAACAGTAATATTAGTTTGTCACCAGTGTACTTAACATGATCTATTGTTAACAATATTTTGGGGTTGCTCTTGTCCATTCCTTTGTAAACAGAATATTTCATATTTTGTAAATGCATTTAAAAAGTTTTCCACAAAAACGTTTAGTTTGATATTGTTCATGTAATTGAAAAATAAACCAACTGAAAAACTTTTTTTTCGTGTCTACAGGGGGTTGTACACGAGCAAACCCAAAAAGAAAAACACTAGGATTTCTTCTGAAGAAGAAACAGAGTAGACTGTATCTAAGAAGAAACACTAGATGGCTCTGAATGAAAGAAAATAGACTTGACTGTTTCTCCATTACATTCAATTATTTTAATGACTATATACTTGATACGTTAGTCAGAAGTGATTCAAAGGTCATGGCAATAAGCATTTTGAACTAATTTAGTTTAAATATGCATTTGAAGCTTTATGCAGTACAACCTGAATTTCATATCCAATGCATGTCTTTGTTTTATGACTGTGGTTGATTTGCTAAGAGTCATGGTCATAGATCTGTACATGTATTTTCTTTAATTCATATATTTGTTTTTCTTTGTTTGGTAATCTTTCTTTATAAATAAGGCAAATATATTAACCTAGAAATGCAGTGTTATATTTTATATGCTTTTTGTTTTTGTTTACTTGAACTGTATGTGGTATATGTTCCTTTACTTAATGATAATAACAAGTAATGAATGGATAAATAGTTTGTAATTCCCCGCTATTATTTTACTAGTAATATGTAGATTGAATGTCTCATTTCACAGCAGTAACATAGAACCAACTTTGCAGCAAAATGTTTTTGTTTTTAACAATTTGTTTTAGGTTCCAGAAATATATAAAAAGTTATTGTAATGGATATTAATATTGTTGGGCCAGTAACAAAGAGTATGAATTTAATGTATTAAAATCTTGCTTTAATAAATTCTTTTTTTCTTTCAAACTGTGGAACTGAAAGTACAAGTACTTAATTGACTAAAACAAAGTGTACTTGTCTTTTCATCACATATTTCTCCAGTAAAAATACTAAGAATAGGTGAACTGATTTCTTAACTTTGCTGAAGGTGACTTAGTTATTTTCTGTTTGATCTAAAAAGTAGATATTTTTGTGATAGCTACATTATATTAGCTTGTTTCTATGACCTGCATAAAGGTTTTATACAATTGACCATAAGTAGCAGCTGTTATTTAAAAGATGAATCAACTTCCTTATGATTGGAAATTACATAAGTTTTTTTTCATTGGGTCTAAAGTAATGACTGATATAATAATGATGTAATGACTGCTACATGATCATCTTTTTGTTTTATTCATTGTGTCCAAAGTAGCAGCTTGTTTATCAACAGTATTTAACAAGATGGAAAAAATTAGTGCTATGTTACTGTTTTAAATGCTTAAGAAGTAATAAAATTTTAGTTCAAAGCCAAGAAAAATTGGTCTTCAAATGTTTTTATTACTTCCTATCTGGTCCTTCGTTGATCAAAGATTACCCTAGTTTGAAGTGTTCAGTAGATAAGTTACTTGGTTTTGATGGTAAAAGTGTCAACGAGGTGGTCAAAATATTTTTATAAAAATATAAAACTTTGTATGTTTGTCTTTTTTTTATATACCATGCTAAAGAAAAGTTAATTAATTCTGTTCTTATTGTAATACAAATTCACAGATGGAGAAACCATCACCTTAAATATGATTCCATTACCATTTTTTTGTTTTTGGTATTGTAGGAAAAAGAAGCTTTCTGATTTGTTTCATGGCATTCACAAATATAATTAATTATAGCAAAGCTGAATTACAAGATTATTATATAATTACTATAATAAACATTTTTGTAGCATAATTGGGCAACTGGTTTTAAATATTAAAAAAAAAAACATACTAAATATGTGATGTTTCATGCTCCTGAAGTTGTGTTGCACCCTAATACACAAGTTTGATGTGTATGTTTTCTGTAGTTGATTGTGTATGTATGTTAAAAACAATTAACTTTTGTTGCATATAAATATAAACTAAGTTGATTTTATGTGCCCTACAGGAAAAATCTGATTCTGATAATCAAAAAATGTTTACTTTCAACAGAAAAAAAAATTGTTGACATTTTCAACCTTATATTTGTTTAGGAGCGGAAACTATTTAAGGAAACATCTCAGTGGTATTTGATTAAAAAAAGATCACTATGGGTGTAAAAATTCTCCATATTTTTAGAGTTTGTATTGAATTTATAGTAAAATATGTGCCGTTTTTTTCAAGGTACTTCAATTTTTAAATGTAACTTCAGTATTAGAAAATATTCAAGCAAATTATCTGTGATCTAAAAATGAGATTTTTACTTTATTCAAAATCTTTTTAAAAGGTTATGTAGTTTGGCTATTTTAAGAATGTTGGTTTGTGTTTTTTGAGAAAAAAAAGTAAAAACCTTTACTAGTTCTAGTGTAGCAGATAAAATGATGAAGTTCAGCTTTTGGGATGTTATAGGGAGAAAATATTTTGATACATAACTTCTTTAGAAGTTTATATAGGTATTGTTTTCATTGTAGTTAATTCATTTCAGAATTTTAATTTTTTAAATTAAAATATCGAGTTACATTCCATTTTTGAGTAGTCCAATCGTAGCTAGTATGTTTGTGTCAAAAAAGTGTATATATTTACATACATGCGCACATTAAAAAAGAAATTTTATGCCTTGTACTTTTGGTGTTCATGTCTGATATTTGACTTTTGTCAACTAGAGTTTTTTGTTATTGATGAACAATGACAGTTTTTTATCAATGAATATAATTTCTTGTCTTTAACTTTGATAAATAATATTTAATACATTTTGTAAACAGAATATAACTGAAATAAAATAAAAATTCATTTTATCTTTTTTGGTTATAATTCATGAAGTAATAAGTGGTAGCAGGCTGGAATAGCATCAGTATGGTATAATTGTTTAATGGGATAAGATAGATATGAGGTCAACCCATCTTTTGTGATTTATTTTTACATTCTAGTTCTGCTAATATTAACATGAACAACGTCATATTTTAAAGTTCATTTATGACATTCACACTATTGCATTACTTGCTCTAATATTGATATCAACATTATTATGCCTAATTACAACATCAATATTACCAAATTACTAGATCTTATATTGACATTGGTATCACAGCAATTTCAGACCTAATCATGACATTCATACCACTACTGGATCTTGTGTGATGTTTTAGAAAACCTGGAAATTTGCAAGTTCAGCTTCACTCTTTGAAAATCCTTGAAAAATCATAATTTAACCAAATATTCCACAATAATAAAATGTCTTCATCAAAATATCTTTATCCAGAACTTTTGAAACATCAAATAAAACATATCTTGGTCTGTTGTTTTAAATCGTTTCTATCGCGATTCGTGATCAATTTATATATTCATCAGAACACCATGTTAAAAGACAACTGTAGCTATTTCCTCAACCTTGAATATATGAATTAGTTACTGTCTGAACTGTTTGCATTCCTATAATGATTATGTAACTAAGATGTCAAAGAATGACTGAAAATATAATAATGCATAGTGTTACAATGATCATGTTGCCTTTGATAATGAAAGGTTTAAATGTAAATTAATTTTTCTAACACATTATTCATGCCAGTCAAACTAGCAGTGTGGGGGGGGCTATCAGCTTTTGAAGTTAATCATCATATTATTTTAAGCTTGAAGACACTCATATTGCTAAGTTTAAACTTTTCAGTAGCAATTTAGTTTCAGCTGTTTTATCTTGTAGGTTAATGAAAGTTATGCTTATATTGTTAAGGTGCAGTGGTTCAGATTCACTCATTCAGAGACCACTGAAATAATATTCAATAATAATGAAAAATTTGAATAAGAGAAAAGGAAATGACAATGTAACAACTTGTAGAAAGTGTCAAAGTTGAGACTGATTGACATGGACTTGTGAACAACTGGTATACTACACAGTTCTGTGTTACATTTTAAATTGTTATGATTCTTCAAGTCAGTGCTAAGGCCAAGAGAAACAACATAAAATAATGTTTATGGAAAGCAAGGATCTATTGGTTCATATAGGCAGTCCCATCCTTTAAACTAAGCTAAAACTTTGAAATAAAAAACTATAAGACAAACAAGTCTTTTATTAGTAAAAACTGAAGATAAAAGTAGAATTTAATAACCCAGCCATCTCATAATCATCAGATACAAGCCTTCCTTTATCATCCGTCAAAGGTCCTACCCCCATCCT